CACATCACTATTAAGTCTCCACTGTAGATCACTATCATTTGATTGTACAATTTGTCTGCTTCAAAAATTTTCCAGGTAAATGGCAAGCGTTGTGGTCAGTTGTTTACACCGCTGCTATTGTCCCTTTGTAAAAATGAAAAGGCTCTCAATTCTTACTCCTATTCTGTCTATTCGATTTACATCAACCATATTGTCTAAAGTGTAATCTAGAATGCTTATCAGTTTTCAATAAAAATACAAATTTAGAATGATGAAAATAACGTTTCGGTAAATTTATATCCAGTTTCTGTTCTTCATATGACAAATATTTCTTAGTTTAAAGTGATGTATTGTTAACAAGGACACCCAAACAGTTTTTGAACTATCTAATTTTCAACTATTTCTTGGTTGGATCGTAGTAACAACTTTATACTGATTACATCATGAGGAGTCCATCAATTAAACACATTAACTAATCCATTTGACATTAATATCATTATGTCAAAATTTCCAATAGAATTATTTTTCAAAAACTTGTCGTTTCCTTTTCATACATACTTGGTGTATACAAGATAGTGTGTTAAATTCCTAGCTCAGCAGTAAATAATTCCTTTTTATCTGTGCAAAACATGAAAACAACCCGCAAGTAATCTTAAACGTCCGAAGCGTTTAACTAGATTTTCTTCCATGGGGAACGCGCAAAGCCAAGTAATTGAAAGCCAATGATGTATAAGAACCGAAACAAATTGTCAGATTTGTATGCTTTTAACATATTTGCAACATAAAAATGACATTGCTACTGTTTTTTTCAGCAGCAAGTCTCATTGTCATGGTTATAGAATTAAACACTAATTCTAGAAACATATTCGTATTTGTCATTTCAAAAAGACTTTATTGAATGGCTAGTTAATTCTTTCGTATACCATTAATTTACACTGATCCTTCAATGATAAAAAAAAACCTATCATCTTGTAACTTACAATTCTGCCTCGACTATTGTTCAGACTTTAAAATGACACTTGTAACATTTTTGTAAAATTATCTGACTAATATGCATCTTTTATATCGATAGACTTAAATTAAAACAATTTTTAAATACACATGTATTGTAGACCATATTGTTGGATTTTTTTTGTTCAATACTATTTTCGAGAGCATTATATTTGAAACCATTAATGTGCGTTTGCATTGCTTTTTTCGTCGATTATAAATATTTAAAACATATTAAGTGCTAGCATGTGCTAATGGTTGTATAATAAGTTTTTGTAAAGATTTGTTTATTTCTTACTGTACCATGTTTGATTTCTCTGTATTCATTCATACTATATTGTGTTCCTTGTTTTGTAAACGGTTTTGTTCAAACTTTTATAGCCTCAAATCTAAAACTCATTTAAATGATGTTAAATTCATCCAATTATTGACAAATAGCAGAATTTTACCACCAATAAAATTATTTAGACTATTTATAAACTTTGAAGGTAAAGTGTGTATCTAACTGCAAAAAGAAAAGTCAAATGAGCATAACTTGACACACAACTTTGCATTTTGGTTGACAAACAGCTTGCATTAAAGCACGGCTTCTAAATATAATGTATGCATAGGTACATGTAATTTGCGTCGTTTGATAGACGTTTCTGCAAATTTGGGTGGCATTGAACCTCATCTTCGGACAGTTCACTTCTTGACAGAGATTTGTCTGTTATCTTTATAAATTAAAGGATAGCTACGTCATGTTTATTCACCACTGTGTATACAATGTCCCTTTTCTTTATCTCTAATATATATGAAAAGAGAAAATCACTCACAGGAACATAATTTTTACACATATCCTTGTATGTTGGTTGAGTTGAATATCAGCCCGATCAATACACGGGCTATACTTGTAATGTCTGCGTAGGAAACCAGTGTCATGTGGAAGGCATCTCTGCAAAGTTTATGAACGATCCTCCATCATTGAACAAATCTGTTAGAAACATATAGTTTAGTTTCACCATAGAACATGCTGCTTTATCCAACAAACGGCTATGGAACAGTTTTTCCTTATTGATTGAAAACCTGTAATGTTTTTAATTATATGTTAGATTTGTTTGATCCAGAATCATTTGTTTCATTCACATTACTAATCAGTATGGTCTTTTTTGTTGTCTGTATTTGAAGTTTTAAAATGATCTGAATCATAGTCACGCGATATACTGTGGATTCATTATTATTCGTTGGATACCAATTTTTGTGGATTTCGTTGGTACAGGTGAACCACGAATTTAAATGTTCAACAAATAACAAATTATATATAGGCATTTATGCGAACTTCGGCAAAACCACAAAATTAAATATCAACGAACATGCAAGTTATCCTAAATCCAAAAAAATTGGTACCCAGGAAAACAAATGAATCCACAGTATCACAAAAGTTTACTTTCATGACTTTCTTCACATTTAATTGGCTGTGCTTGACATAGTTCGTCAAGTTCCTTAAGCCCCAAGGGTGAGGGGGGAAATAAAATATTGTCACCATTGGTCTTTCTCCTACCGGCAGTAAAACCCTCGCCAAAGTGAGGATGTTTGGCTATGCCGGATGTTCACGTTCGCAGACACATCCGGTCAGTATGGGTACGTTAAATCCGAATCCTGGTGAAAAGAGAATGCCACACGCTTCTTCCTTTAAGATACCTTGCAATAACTATTTCAGGGGTCAGTATAAATCTGTTGCAAGACTAAATGTGTATTGCTATCCAAAATATTCCCATTTTTCTATTGCAGTCAAAACTTCCTCGACCTTTATCCCAGACGGCCTCTATTGTAGGACATACCTTTTGTAACTATTACTTACGTGTTGTCGTCCTGAACATGAATTATGTATTTGTCACTGTTTCTTAAGCATCCAACAATCAATCAATCAAATTTTAGAATACATTTTGATAATATTGTTCAGGTTGGCGACTTATATTAATTTCAGTTTTCCGATTTTTAACCATTTAATCGTTTATTTATAATTTGGAAATGGCATCATCAAAAGCTCAATCACATCAAAATAATGGAAACAACGCTCATATTCCTGATTCGGTACAGGTATTTCTAAGAAAAGGAAGGATTAACTTTAACTAAAGTCAATGTTTTATTGGCTTTCGTTAAGAGAACGATGTCATTAAAAATTGAATCAAAGCGTGTAGACACTTCCTTTTTGCTGATTGCTTGAAACATAGTAACATTCATTGTACACGAAAAATGTTCGTCAAAGTTTTCTTGGAATTTATGAAAGGTATTGATCAGTTATACTTCATTGTATACCCAAATCAGTATAAAACAGCGACTTTGGCAGAGACACGATATTGGACTTGTTATACTTTGAAACACTCGTCTTACTAATGTTTTGCTTTAATATTTAATAGGAACTGATTAAGGATCTACTAACAAATAGTGTATGGAGATATGATAAAGACAGAAACATATCTCCAGCTTTAGATCTTGCGCAACAAGGATTGTGTTGCCTGTTGCTGCATAGCATGGTTATATTTAAAGGGATACCAGGAAATCAAACATGGTTATCTCCCTTGGTAAACATTGCAAATAATCCAGAACTCATGATGGTAAGACAAACGTTTTCAAAATTAAAATCAGTTGTAATGAATACACATGTTAAAACTAAATAGACAGATATGCTAGGAAATACTTGGGTAAAATGAAATATTTTGATAAGTCGGAATAAAATCTTTTCACTATGGTGGATGATAATTTTTAATCATATAATTTTAGTAGAGAGTCAATATGCTGTTGTACTAATAGTTATTATTTTCTAGTCGGTATTCTACTTTTTTTTGTGAAAGGACAGTAACATCATGTGTCTTTTTTGATTTGATAGGTATTTTGGTTACAACTTTTTGATTTGATAGGTATTTTGGTTACAACTTTTTGATTTGATAGGTATTTTGGTTACAACTTTTTGATTTGATAGGTATTTTGGTTACAACTTTTTGATTTGATAGGTATTTTGGTTACAACTTTTTGATTTGATAGGTATTTTGGTTACAACTTTTTGATTTGATAGGTATTTTGGTTACAACTTTTTGATTTGAATTAAATGAAAATCCTGTTGTATTATTCCATTTTGACCTTTTAGGTGTTGTTAAACAACATTGACTGGAATAATTATGAACATTCCTATAAAGGTAATTTTTGTGAGATGGTCATAAAAAACATTCTTATTTTCTATATGTAATTTAGGAATTTTTTTTTAGAAAGGCACACATTTAAAAAATGTTTTGAGAACGAAAAACAGACTCAAATGTATTGGAGGCTAACTCAGCTGCATCATTTTGATAAATAGAGGCGACATATTGCACAGTTACATTTAAACTTTTAAAACAAAATGACAATTCCATGGCAAACAAAAAACGACAAAAACATAACATATGCACAAGCACTGTACATAAGTCTATTTCGGAAGGTCGCATTTGAAAAAGGAACATAATTAAGGTTACGGCAATCGGAACACATCCGTCGTCAGCAGTCAAACATATATACCATTACGGTCCTCCAATCTGTAATGACGTTTTTGCAATGATCAAAATGACGGGTGCAACATTTTGAGCAGGATCTGCTTATCCTTCCGGAGCACCTGAGATCATCCATAGTTTTTGGTGGGGTTCATGTTGTTTAGTCTTGTTTTTTCTATGTTGTGGTTTGTGTACAATTATTGTGTCTTTGTTTCTATTAAATTTTGGCGTTGTCAGTTTATTTTCGACTTATGAGTCCCTTTGGTATCTAAATCAGACTAAAGTATGATACAGTCGGGGTAGATGGGTCGGCAGGCAAGCAGACGAGGAAAATTGATCAATTAAATCTGCCACTATATTGAACCCGATTTTTTTAAATTTCACCAAAGATTGCATATATATTGACGTTGTGCACCTACAATTATTATGACTAAGAATTTCAGTTATTTTCTGCAAAAATTAGGTCATAAATATTACAGTACGGACTTTTGAGACCTTGATTCTTTTTGTACTTTATTTTTATTTTCAGAATTCTTACTTTCCCACAATGCCTCAATACGATTTGGACATGATTAAGAAAACGTTGGAGGCATCAAAACAAGATGGAGATGTAATATTCTACAGTAAGCACTAAATAAAGTCGAACCGTAGCTAGCTTAAAGGTGTCTTGGAACTTTGTAATTTATGATCTTGATGCTCTGTATTTAATAGGCAAGCGTCATTGTGCATCTCAGCTGCAATAGTATTTTGTTGGATTCATTAGGGGTTTTTTTCTACACTGTTGGATGTGCTAAGTACAACTCTTACGGGGATGGTGTATCTATTTTCACAATTTGAATGAAAATTATCTATCATTTGATGAATTTTGACAACATCTTTTGCTGAAATGAGGTTTAACATTTTCAAAAATACAGGTACTGGAATTGAAAATAAAACCACAAAAGTATCAAATCAATGCTTGTTGTATATGTACAGGAAATCACCAGAATGTATTAAGCTGTGACATAATTTAAAAAGAAAGTATGATTTAGGGTCAGAGTACAATATTAAGATTTTATCAAATATATTATACAGAAGGAAAATTGCTCGATCATATTTAGGATACATTTTTGTAACAGAAGTACATTTTTACAGGATGTCCTAATGGTCATCTCTATGGTATTGGTGATGTAAGTATACAATTTTTAGTCTTTTTATGTATATGTCATGGCCAGTTTGAAATACATTATTCATTAGTTCTAAGCACATTTTCAATATATGTTGGAAAGTTTATTTTACATTGGTCAGTTTACTCTAGATTACATCAAGTATTAAGTTTAGATGGTCAGTTATATGTTATTTCAGATTTTGATTCCTTTTAGCTCACCTGGCAAAAAAGTCAAATGAGATATTATCATCACTCGTCGTCTGTCATCGTACGTTAACATTTACAAAAATATGGACCGTCCTTACTTTAACCATTTTTTTTTTTCAATGTCATTTTGACTCTGGTGGAGAGTTGTCTCATTGACAATCATATCACATCTTCTTATTTTGCATTCGCCAGAATTGCTTGGGAGAACCACACTTTGTCATAACAATAATTAGTATATTCGATTAGGTATTAAAATACACCTGTGACGTCAATCATTTGTTCAAACTCTCCATTATTTTACAGGAAGGGACATGTATTTTCTATTGTTCGTTTTTATTCATCAGGACGTTTTGCCCTTTGTTGATTTCCAAGGGCACTTTCTTAAAAAAAATGCTCACCCATGGGAATAGTTCTAAAGGACGTAACACGGTATTGAATAAAGATAAAAACTTACTAAAACGACTGATACCGATTTTGTTTTAATTGGGATCGTAGTAATACAATGAATACTAATTATCTCATTATTAACAAACAGCATTTATTTTCGAGTCGAAATTCTATCATGTAAAATATAGTATCGTATTCACTAAAATTCAACAATATAATCCACAATTTGTTTTGTGATGCAAATATTGGTTGAATTTTTATCACGAATAGTATCCAAGTGGACAAAAACGACCATTTTCGATTGAGTTCCATTCCTCTTAAGTGCATGAACAAAATATCAAATATGTTATCTGTGAAGAAGTCAGTGAACTCTATTATAATATAGAACACATTAACATTATGCAATAATGAAAGAAAGAGAAAAATTAATTTCACATAAAGATTTGATTTATACTTTACCATTTAAGATATTATTTCCTTGAAATATTCTGAATTTGTACAGCAAAATTAGATTGTTGCATTCTAATATATCTATAAATTAAACTGAAAAGGCACAAAAATCGTATTCGGTATTCTATTTGATTGTTCGTTGTTATAATATAAGTATAGTAATATAAATGAAAAAAATGTAAGGGGGTATGGATAACATTTGAAAAAGGTTTGTCTGAAATAATGGGCGTTTTTTTTTTTTTAATTTTTAACAGAAATGCGTAATATAATGGAATTCATTCACTGTTGTTACATGTCCAGTGGCAAATTTAACAGTTATATCGGCAGTGTAAATAAACGGCGTTAATCTTGAAATAAATGTTAATTGAAAATAAAAAAAAAAAATTTAAGTTAGATACATACAAAACGACATCTGGATATGGTTCTAAAACTGTTTTGCCTCCTTTCTGATAATAAGGACGAATGAAACATATTTTTCAGTTTGCTTGTATTGCTATTTTAAAAAATGCACAACGGTTTGGTCGTTTTTTTGGAAAGACAAAATGCTGGGTTGTACATGAAATACTGCTTTCTTGTTTCATTTTATTTCATCGAATAGAATGCTTTAAAATATATAGAATCAAATTTTGTATTCGATATGACGTAAATCGAGCATACCGTTATTAGTTAAAAAAACATACTAGAGTGTTTCCGTTCTGAATGTTCCTCGGAGTTCAGTATTTTTGTGATTTTACTTTATACATACCTGGAAATTCATTGTAGTGGTACCATTTCACTATTCTCAGACGATTCTACATCCAATATCTATTAAACGAAACACACACATAATCCATTAACATATATGCATAAATACCACTTTTTTCACTCTCCTAAAATCACAATTAAAGACATATAAAGACACATAAATATTTTTTCAATCCCACTTGTAAGACGTGCGTTTCCAATGGCTTAAAACATAAATCTGAATGGACTTTATTTAAGATTTGTTTATTGTTATTATTCTACTGTTCATAAATAATTCATTAAGAACGTTAAATGAGATCTTAAATTTTGCCTTCGGATTCTACACGGGGAAAAAGAAAAGAAAACCATTACAAAATTAAATCAAATTCTTTAAAACGTTCTCGTTGAAGGTGTATTTTAAGTTAGCTCTACGGGCCTCAGCTCCATTATTTCCCATGAATAAACAGTTATTTGGACTCCTCTATAAAGGACATCTTAAATCTGCTGTTTGTCTTTTTTTACATTAAAACTGTCAGTCAGCTTTGAATAAGAGTAATTGTGCTTTAATGACACTGAAGAAGGTATACAATATTCTGGATTTTGCAAGTTACATTGCAAAATATGATGTACACGGACCCAGTGGAGTGGCAAGTTAATGTTTTTGTATTCAGTATTTGTTGCCACACGACTTGCACCATCCTGCAGTTGAAAAGCTTTTATTAGCGGAATCATCAGCTCTCATAATTAAGTCCCACCGACTTGCTGGTCTCCGAATAGCTAAGACAAGAGGTTTGCAAAAGATCTCGAATAATTTTGGCGCTTGGCAATAATCTGCCAATTGGCATAGATCAAACGTGAAAGGCTAGTAAAGGAGGGATTGTATGTTAAAACAAACGGAACTATTTCAAAACGCCTCCTCTGTTTGTATTTTAATAAGTCATTGCGGCTGTTATTGTAAGCAACCACAAACCCTTTATATATGTCCCATTTCTTATAACCTCGTTTGGTTAACAATCCGCGAAGTAACTATAATCGTTTAGTGTCAGCCTCTTCAGAGTACCTAATCCGCTTTACTCTGAAAGCTTGGCTGTATGGGATACTCTTTGTACAGTGTTTGGAGTGACAGCTTTGACAGAAAGGTACTGATGTTTATCTGTAGGTTTACAGTGGAGGTCTGATGATATGAAATCATCTTTTACATATGAAGTTGTGTCTTAGAAAGATATTTCAGAATATATATATATCAGTCGAGGTGGCCGTGTGGTCTAGAGTGCTGGACACAGTGCAGGTGGTGTTGCCTCGAAATCCTAATAGCATGAGTTCGAAATTTGCTTCCGCAGATTTGCATAATTAACATTGTTGTCTGATATTATAAGTAATTATTCAGGCCTGAATAAAGTATGTGTTTTCAGCCGTGTATCACCGTCACTGGTGATTCAATGGACGTATCTGTTTTACAGTTGTCACTTGTTTAGACAAAACTTTTAAAATAATTATGTCTGTGACTGTATCTTACAATCCTCTACGATAGATAATTAGCTAATCTGAAATCAATTTCATCTTCGTGGCTTATATAATATGTAATGTCTTTCAATAATTATTCTAGATTCTACTAACGAGGAGAGGTAACACTAAGCCACGAAAGCTGAATTGTTAATTCAGTCTATTTTGCCGTATGTTCTATAGCGCTAAGGAAAGTGTAGGCAGTCTTGTCTCGTTTTCCAAATAGCATGAGTTAAAATGCTGCCAAGGGAAGAACAAAAATTTGCTTCTGCGATTTTTTTGTCGATCATGAATATAATATGTGTTTTTAGCCGTGTATAACATTTATTGTCACTTGTTTAGACGAACTTATAAAGTAAAAATATTTCTGTGACTGTCTCACACGATCCTGTCTGTTAAAGGGAAGAACTATTTCTGCAAACTTGGTGTGCTGATATTAAAAGTAGTTATATTTATTAAATGATATATCTATATATAAATATCATAAATGAATAAAACCCTGCCATCTAAACTGGTATAATTCAAAAAGTGTACAGTTGACAAAGGAAAAAAATTGCAGTTATAATCGCAGGGTTTTATACATTATGGATATTTAAGTATGCAGCCTCGTTCAATTACTTAACTTTTGTCCAAACTAATTTTTTTTTCTCATTATCAAACTGCTGTTTATGAGGGATATTTTACATAAGAAAATGCCTGTACCAAGTCAGTTATCCATTCGTTTGATGTGTTTGAGCTTTTGATTTTGCCATTTGATAAGGGACTTTCCTTTTGAATTTTCCTCGGAGTTCAGTATTTTCTTGATTTTACTTTTTAAATTAAATACGCAAGCCTCTGTTGTAATTTCTTTATCGTTGTCAAAATTGAAATATTTTACCACATTAAATCGGTCAATGCTGTTTATTTGGGAATGTGATTCCAAGCTGTCTTTATTGTAACCTTTCAACTGTCGTCACCTCTGAAATTTTAGAAATGTACCAGTTCATATCGCACTATACTTTTTTATTAGAAGCATATCTATACAGTATCTGTTGTAAATATCTATATAACGTCATTTTTGATATTTTAGAAAGTTTAGAATTGTACAAGCATTGTTTGTGTTAGGGTTAGGGTGTTGTTTTGTAAACTTTTTATGCGTTTATATAATTTATTTTTTGTGTACATGTATTGTTATTAGAAACGATCCAGCGCCCTAGTAGGAAAAATCGTAGACTAATATCCAGACAAATATTTGTCATGTTCCACATACATGTAGGCATACAGCCGTGCGTTAGAAGGTTAAATAAAGGCAACAGTAGTATACCGCTGTTCGAAAGTCATAAATCGATTGAGCGAAAACAAATCCGGGTTACAAACTAAAACCGAGGAAAACACATCAACTATAAGAGGAAAACAACGAAACAACAGAAACACTAAAGTGCAACAAAAAACCAAACGACAATGTAACACACACAGAAACAAACTATAAGATAATAAATGCCATTTTCCTGACTTGGTACAGGACATTTAAAGAAAAAATGGTAGGTTGAATCTGGTCTTGTGGCTAGCCAAACCTCGCGCTTTTATGGCAATGTTAAATTTAACACTAAAAGGACAAAATTACATGTACATGACAGAAAAATACACAAATAAACAATTCAAAAATACATTTCGACATGCTAATAAATATCAACGGTACCAGGCTTATAATGTAATACGCCAGACGCTCGTTTCATCTACATATGACTCATCAGTGACACTTAGATCAAAATAGTCAGAAAGCCAAACAAGTATAAAGTTAAAGAGCATTGATGACCCAAAATTTAAAAAACTTGTGCCAAATTCAACTTAGGTTATTTATGCCTGGGATAAGAAAATCCTTAGTATTTAGAGTAATTCGTACTTTTGCAAACAGTAAATTTATTAAAAAAAATATTAAAAAGCTATTTATTAAAATTCACATCACTTTGGTAATTATCGTTCTCATCAGTATACTACTCACGTTCGAAATGAGTAAATACCACTCACAGTGCTGCTGCACAACTATCTATCATTTAAAAGTTCTTCAATATATTTTGCTTTAAAAAAAAAAGAAACAGTGAAACATTTAAAATATAGTGTCGACATTATGAAAATTTGAAACACCTTTATTGAAACAAATTTCATTTCATTCTACATATTCAAAATAAAAAATTATGCAGATTGGAGCATTTTTCAAATTTTGGATATTGCAAAGTAGAATGAAAAATGCTCTACCTCATAGCATTTTTCTTTTTCAAATTTACAATGTCAAAGGAAAAATGCTCCATATTGGAGCATTTTGCAATTTTGCAATATTTAAGTCAAAATGAAAAATGCTCAACGTTTGACCATTTTTTTAATATTTTATCTTTCAAGTCAAACTGATAAATGCTCCACGTTGGATCATTTTTCATATTTCAGAATTTAAAGTCAAATTAGAAACTTCAATATTTACTTTTTAGAATATGATTGAAATGAATTTTTTTTCTTATACAAGCAAAGGCAAATATTTTAATTTATTTAAACTGTTGATAAATTTAATTATAGTTGTCATAAACTTATTCTCAATTGTTTTTACTATCATCGTGAATTAAAAAAAAAATGTACTTATTTTATGAAAATTTCTAATCTCATTTTGAAAATAATTTTTCTAAAATAACTTCGAAAGATTTTCTTTTACCTTTTAAAAAACAAATACCATTACAAGTTGTAGAGCAATTTGCCAAAATCCTTTTTTCAGATGAAAATGACAAACTTTTGGCGTAAATGTTCATGGACGATTAAAATAATATTTATAAAAAAGAAGATGTGGTATGATTGCCAATGAGACAACTCTCCACAAGAGACCAATTTAGTTTGATTTAATTTTAATGATACCAAAATCAAAATTAATAGCAATAAAACAATATGAAGAGATCTAATTACAGTGTTGAATTGGTTACCTTTGAGCATAATTTTTTTCAAAGAATCGATAAGTTTACCCAGATCGATTCTAGATTTCCGGGTTGGGTTAACAAAATCTCCGTAAAAATAAGGTTGTGCTATCCCATTTGAAATAGTTTTATCTATGGAAGAATTAAGTAATGGGTTTTAAGTAATTTGTGGTAACGAAATCCGTGACTAATTTACCAGTAGTAAAAAACATGTAGTACATAGATAACGTTCATTGAAATTCAAATCGTGTCAATAGAAAAGGGCATATCGAACGAGTTGTGATTTATAAACACCGTAAGGAACATTACCGTCCACAAAAAAGGGACAATAAACAATGGGGAACGAACAATCGTTCCTTTTATCGCAAATCTTCGTGTTGAAGAGGCGCAATTGCTGCAATATATGCAACCTGTTGATAAACTGTATAGCCAAAACGTACATAAAAATTAATCAATTAAGTAGAAAATGAACAGCTTCAATCACTTCATGACACCTCCAGTAAGTATATATTAGCATATTTTCCTTTCCAATTAGAAATGATGACTTTATATGAGTTGCAGGAAATATATTTGCTGTCAGATTTACCTTACGTTCAGTTGATTGAATAATAAAATGTTTGCTTGATAAAACTGTGTGGAAGTATAATGTATTAAAAGAATTGAAAAGTCAAAACGTTCAACAGAATCAAAAGGACTATCAGAAACACGTTATTTATCTTAAATATCCAAAATAAATATTTTACACTCCAAAATAGTTAATTCAATTATTTTCGTATATTTTATAACATAATTTATTGATAAATTCTTTGAGTAGTTAAGGAACTAGTTTAAAGCACTGCATTTTTGTATTTTAGAAAACCAATGTGGTTATAATATGTTTGTTAACTACATGTATATGACTCACTGTGGAGCGCACGGACTTGAATGTAGACTAATTTAGATTTTTTTATTCTGAAGACCGTCCGTGTAGTATGTACGGCATGCTCAAGTTAGAGGAAATCATAGCTCTGATGATACTGCCATGTACATCTCCTCTCAATAAGGAGTATATGAGACTCCATCACTCATAACGATTCTATTAATTTGGAATTTTTATATAGTCTATATGTTGAAGAGGTATCAGAGTTATTCAATGTGCTGATAGTGTGACACTCTACAGCAGGCATTAGATTAAATTTAAAGGAGACGAAAAAGTAGCATATCTTTGGTAACGGAGATTATTTAATCTTGCACATTCAGTAATTTTTTGAATTTGAAAAGTATGCATACTAAATTACTATAATGTAAATTAATTTCTCCACATTTGCGTTTTACCATCAAAATCACATAAAGATCATACATGTCTCTTTGTAGAGTGGAAGTCCAGTATATGCAGCCATATGTTGCTGTGGAAAAGAAATTGGAGGGACATGTTATAAGCTAAACGAAGGGAATATCAGGGATCATGGGTATTTTAAATTAATAGAACTCCTTCCGTTCTGCTTTCCGTCTTGGCAATAGGTGTTTAAGAGATAATAATAGGTTAATATATTCAACATACAATGATAAAAAATCATGAATTACTGACGGAATTTTATTGAATAATTAGAAGTAATTAGAATTGCTTGTTTCAAATTAATATGTAACCACATATAAATTTTTTCAACACTAAATTACAAGATAAGGATATGACTCATGATTGAAATATATATAGATTCTAAGTTTTTTTCATGACAAGTGCATGAAAAACGAATCTGACCCATTGGTTGATCCATGCGATGTGTCTGTGTCTAAACTAACTAAGGACATGTTTACCACGTCTTAGATTGTGGATTACTAGTTACGTCGTCTTTTAAGTACCGAACTTGACCTTTTCCAGAATATGACTGTTTTGCTGAGCATATGGCAAAATGTTGTGGTACTTTGCTAATTAGCATAGCGGCCTGTTTGCCTTACCATGGCGGCAGCCATTACAATAGGATTATATATGCCCCTTTTATTAGAAATGCCAATATGCCAATTCCTATGTCAAATCAACAATTTGTCCGCATATAGTAGAACCAAAGGGCCAAGTGAGCTTTTACAAAAATCTGCTCCTCTGAAACTACTGAGCCAAATTCAACCAATCTTTCCCACAATCATCACTAGGGTATCTAGTTTAAAAAATGTGTCCGATGACCCTGCCCGCCAACCAAGATGGCTTTTGGCTTATATCTCTTAAACCAAAGCCTTTAGAGCAAATCTGACGGTGTAAAAATGTTAATCAGGTTGAGATCTATCTGCTCTGAAATTGTCAGATGAATCGAGCAACCCGTTTTTGGGTTGCTACCCCTGAATTTTTATTTTAAGAACATTTTGCCGTTTAAGGTTATTATCTTGAATATTATTATAGATAGAGATAAATTGTAAACAGCAATAATGTTCATCAAAGTAAGATCTACAAATAAGTTAACATGACCAAAATTGTCTGTTGACCCCTTATGGAGTTATTGCCCTTTATAGTCAATTTTTAACAATTTTTTTTAATTTTTAGTAATCTTTTACAAAAATCTTCTCCTCTGAAACTACTGAGCCAAATGAAACCAAACTTGGCCACAATCATCATTAGGGTATCTAGTTTGTAAAATGTGTCCAATGACCCCGCCCGCAAAACAAGATGGCCGACATGGCTAAAAATAGTACATATGGTTAAAATGCAGTTTTTGGCTCATATCTTTGAAACCAAAGTATTTAGAGCAAATCTGACAAGGGTTAAATTGTTCAATAGGTCAAGAACAGGTTAAATTGTTCAATAGCTCAAGAACCATCTGCTCTGAAATTTTCAGACCAATCAGGCAACCCGTTGTTGGGTTGTTACCCCTGAATTGGTAATTTTAAGAAAATTTTGCAGATTTTAGTTATTATCTTCAATATTATTATAGATAGAGATAACCTGTAAAAACCAATAATGTACAGCAAAGTAAGATCTACAAATAAGTCAACATGACCAAAATGGTCAATTGACCGCTTTAGGAGTTATTGCCCTTTATAGTCAATTTTTAACAATTTTCAAAAATTTTGTAAATTTTTACAAAATATTTTCCTCTGAAACTACTGGGCCAAGTTCATTATAGATAGAGATAATTGAAAGCAGCAAGAATGTTCAGTGAAGTAAGATCTACAAACACATCACCATCACCAAAACACAATTTTGTCATGAATCCATGTGTGTCCTTTGTTTAATATGCACATAGACCAAGGTGAGCGACACAGGCTCTTTAGAGCCTCTAGTTAACTGCTGTCTATGTATGAATGAACATTGTCTACTTAGAAAACTTTCGGTCTTTTTAGTTTGAAATTCGGAAGCGTAACCGTAGTAATTGCTATATAAAGTAACGAAAAATTGTTAAAAAGCGAGATTCAAAATAGAAATCTTTTAACTTACCTTCTTTCTTAAGTGTTCAGCCAAATTCTAATTTTAAGCATTCTTCCTTAAAATTCAAAGCCACATTAGTTTTAGGTCCATGACGGAAAAGGACTGGATTTTCCGCAAATTTGATATTTTTTATATTTTCAGTCTAAAACTTAGGGAAGTAATAGAATCAAATGAGCCAAAGTCGCGTGGTGCAATCATACGAATAAAATACCTTCGATTTTGTCATATGGTGTGAATTTGTATTGCTGTAAGACGTGTCTCGGTATTTGTTTATCCAGCATTCATGTTCAAATGTATTCAGTTACTAAGTTTTATTTGTAATTCTGATCAGATATTGGTTTGTGTCTTATTATTTGTAGTTGTAATTCTGATTTTTATTTTTTATTCGTATGTAAAAGTAAAGATAATCGATCACTCAGTTCATTTGTATGATTTTAATTTAAAGCAAGTCATAAATGCATATGATTTATTTGTTTTGCAGAGTTTGATTTGGAACAAAGGCTAACATAGTTAGTTAGTACAGTTAGTTGAACAATTACTAACACAAGTCTATATTAATGTTCTTGTAATTGTTATAAGATACATCAAATAACAAACCTAATTTCGATTTATATCCATTTTTTTTTTAAATTTACCTGTGACGTCACTTTGTGTGGCGTTGATACATTCTGTGACAGACACACATTTCGTAATTCTTTATATGCTGTTTTTGTGTACTGTCCTTAATTGATTTTATTAATTTGTTGTTATTCTGAGGTTTCTATGTATGTTGCATTGTCGTTTGATTTTTGTTGCACTTCAGTGTTTCTGTTGTTTCGTTATTTTCATTTTATATGTGATAGGTTTCTCTCGGGTTTAGTTTGTAACCCGGAATTATTTTCTCTCAATCAATTTCTGATTTATAAACAGCGGTATACTACTGTTGCCTGTATTTATCCATAATAGGTATAACAAAACAAAAACATATGTTTAATTAACCTTCATTGAAAGTTCTGCTTGATGTTTTCCTTGTGTTGAGATGTGCATATTAAGTGTAAACGAGAGGCGAAAGGTACTAGAGGGTCATTCAAGTAAAAAATGAACCGAAATGTCGTTCTTATGCTGTACTGTTACACCATTGTCCCAGGTTAGTGGAGGGTTGAGATCCGGCTAACATGATTAACCACGCCACATTCTGTATGCATGTGCCTGTCCAAAAATCAGCAGCCTATAATTCAGTGGTTGTCGTTTGTGACTGTGTTACATGTTTGTGTTTCGTTCATATTTTTGTAAATAAATTAGGCCGTTAGTTTTTTCGTTTGAATTGTTTTACATTTCTCAATTCGGGGCCTTTAATAGGTGATTATGCGATATGTGCTTTGTTCATTGACGATGACATATACATGTAGCTTTCAATTTCTGTGTTATTTGGCACCTTGTGAAGAGTTGTCTCATTGGCATTCATACCATATCTTCTTTTTTTATTTTGACAACGCCGTCTAATTATACAAAACCCCTCTGAAACCACACGACATATTTGCATGGACCTAACAAGTACATACTTTGTTGATGCGCATATTGAAAGGAAATTATAATACAGTTTTGTTTTCTAGGAGTAATATATATTTTCTATTATGGCCTAATTATACTACTGCAACTGTTTTTCGTCGCAACTCCTCTGAATATGCACACCAGATTTTCACAAAGTTTGTAGATTATTAGGACATGCTATGTTGATGTGCTTATCGACAGGAAATTATGTTCATTATTTGTTTTAGGAGTTATGCCCCTTTGAACTTTACATTTTGGTCTAAATATACTACTGGAACAATTTGTCATCGGAACTGCTCTGAATCTGCACACCAGAATTTCACAAACTATGTAGATAATTTGGACATGCTATCAAAAAGTGCATAGTATGAACATTTATCTTATCTCCTAAAGATTTATGGGGATATGATTGGTTAACGGACTACATGTGGTGACTATATATATTTGGTATAGGGTGCCCTAAAAAATACATGGTTAGTTACCATATAGGGTTAAGACCATATGGGGTTAGTAAGAAGTTACTTCCCTTTTAATACAAAAAGAAACCTGAAAGGTTTAAACAGACGACGAAACTGTTAATGAACGATTGAATTACATTCCTTAAACAAATTTAAAGCTAACACGTTGTAATTGTTGGCATTTGTTTTTTGTAGAGACAAATAGAAGTGGGTTCTTAAACATGTTAAAACTAAGTATTGAAGACTTGATCACTTTGATAGGCCGAAAGTCTAAATGCCACATGCAAAGACAGTCGGTAAGATAAATTCGTTACACGGTGTGCTAGTGACCTAATACGATATATATGGGGTCAGTAAATTCCATGTATATCGTATTAGGTCACTAACACACCATGTAACTAATAATATAGTGCGTAGATGTGCATATAGATTCCCTTTATTTCTTGAAGTTATGTCTTTTTAAACATTGAATTTTTTCCAAAATATATTACTGCTAAAGTTTGTCATCGGAACTCCTCTGAAACCGCACACAAGTATTTCATAAAACTTTATTGACGATAGGGATGCACTTAGTAAATGTGCATATCCATAAGAAAATTGTAACGTTTGACCTTTGTAAGAGTTTTTAATCTAAGGAATCTGATGACAATTTTATTGCCGAGTGACAATGTTGGACCGTGGAATCATAGCGTGCTCCCAACGGTTCTTTCACTGTTTTTTTTCTTTTCTTTTATTAACGTTCCATTTCAAAATCTAATCATCTGAGTTATACTTTTTAAAATGTAGACTTACGCGTAATAATCAATCAATCTTGACTTTCTATGTGTTCACCCTTACACTGAAAAATATATATTTTGTGCAGAGTAAATACAAGTGATACAGGACACATATTAGGACCGGCCAAAGATCGAAATTTAGACCCATATCCTGAAAGAAGTCTCAAATCTGCAAATTGTGCAATTATGACGTTACTGTTGCACATGGTAATGTATACTGGTGCAAATAACAATGCACAGGTAAGTATTTAAAAGTTAACAAAAGGATAAATAGGTTAAGTTTGATAAGTTTTTATTTCACATTTACCTATTTGAAGATGTATTTAGACACTTTGAAAAAAAAACAGGATTACATTAACCTAAACATCTAACTTTGGTTTCATTAATGGCACTCCATACATTTCTATACAGATATTTTTCTCCAAATGCAAAATTCTTTTAGAAATTAACTACAAACTCAACAAAGTAATTCTGTCTAAAGCCTGATGACAAATACATTTGTAGGAGTGTCATATAAAAATGCTGGTATAAGTTAATGAATTTGAAATGAAACTTTTGTTGACAGCACAGATAAAAAGAAAGAAGAAAAAGTAGTTATACATGAATAAGACGCAATCCATTATTGATAAATACGACAATGAAATCTTGACAACATAAGACAACATATTTTTACACAGCCTATTTATTATTATAAATTAAAACATCGATACCTAGGAGGTGGTCAAACCTTGTACTATTTTGTTGATAAAACGTTTTGAAATTTCGTCATTGTTTTTATATAGTAGTTTGAATTATAAGAAAATGTATGTTAAACATTACTGTTTTTGCGTAGTCCCTAAACTTACAAAAGTAATTCTTTTTAAAAGGCAATTTGCAGATGCATTAAGCCAGTTATATGTGAGACTGTTGTGTCTTCGTATCTATTGAGTCATATACAGGGTGATTTGAGGTCGATATCTACAGTTATACGGAGAAGTGAAGAGAATGTACTGGTTCTGATACACTTTTTATTAGCAGAAATAATGAACAATCACACACAGGCTAGATTAGGTAATAGTCTACAATAATGGAATTACTAAGTTATAGACTTGCAAAAGGGTAGTATACTCATTATTGAAAATTATAATTTTAAATATTTTATATGTATCTGAGAAGATTCTTGCAATTTGACAGTCCACTTTTAAAAGATGTGTGATAATCAAGAAGTACAACTTAACAATGATAATATACATAACTTAAATTCTATATTTAGATTGTAGACAAAAAAAAAAGTTAAGGATAATGGAAATATTACAGAAAACATAAAAAAGGGAACAATTGATCAATTGTGTTCCAACCGTTGTTTTCTCATCAGAGCCATTAAATCAAGACCAAAAACATTTGTGTTATTTCTTAATTACACCGATTTCAAACACACTGATTGATTGATTGTTGGTTGCTTTACACCGCAACAGTACAAAACGGCTATATCGAAACAAGATTTTAAAAAAATATGTTTAACGCCGCCGCATTTGCGCCTGTCTCAAGTCATGTTTGATTATTTATTTTAGTTTCTTTTATATATTTCGGAGTTTAGTATGACGTCCATTATCACTGAACTAGTAGATATTGTTTAAGATGAAGCAAGCCTCCGGATGCGGGATTGTATCGCTGTATTGAAGACCCATTGGTGGCCTTCGATTTGTGTTCTGCTCTTCGGTCGGGTTGTTTTCTCTGACACATTCCCTATTTCCATTCTCAATTTTATTGTTCATTTTTGAATTCCATACAATAACGTGTAGTTATAACTGATACTTCATTTGATAACCTGCTTGTGCGGGTGCACTCGACTCCAATCTTAATTGACTAGCGTTGTCAGTTTTCCTATCGAAGGACGGTGGTTTTCTCCAAGCACTCCGGCCTCCTTCATCAATAAAAACTGTCCGCCACGAAATAGCATAAAACAGTGCTTAAAAGAGTCGTTAAACCACCAAAAATCAAATCAAATCAATTGATAATTGTTGGTAATCATACAATACAGAAGAGGACAAGTAACAATACAGAAGAGGACAAGTAACAATACAGAAGAGGACAAGTAACAATACAGAAGAGGACAAGTAACAATACAGAAGAGGACAAGTAACAATACAGAAGAGGACAAGTAACAATACAGAAGAGGACAAGTAACAATACAGAAAGGCACAACTAAATTTTGAGAAATGACCTTTTTTGATAAACCGTTTTAAATATTTCATGCAATTTGTTTATCATTTAAAATTATAAATCATAAAGTATTCCACATTGATCACAAGTCATTCTGCTTCCATTTGATACCAATGTCACCTACATATTTGACATATGTCTGTACTAAGATACACAAAAGCGTAGGAACTATTTTGTGTTAAACATATACTACTTTCTGGCAGGTGCTTTCTGGCCGGGTTCGAATAAGTGGTGTTACTTCTGTAAATAGTCCCTTCTATGAACCAGTCCTAGCAAAACTTACTTATACCATTTCCTATAGGAGATTTTATTTTGTGTTCTTATATAGTTTCTATAAATACTTTCCAAGTTTATAAAAGTTGTTTGCATTCAATTAGAGATTTCCAATAAAATTACATTTCCCGACATAACCGACTTTTTAGAACGTATTTCTGGCTATTGCACCGAAGCAGGACGGAGGAGAACATACATTACATCAATTAAACGCTCCTTGAATACATATATTCTGTTTAAAAATATGGAATTAAAAAAATTAACCCAATTTGTTATTCTTTACATATTTTGTTTTGAAATTCGGAATGATTTAATTGACAACAATTAAATCTTAAGGACATAATTGATCCAGTTACCGAATATCAAAGGCACCAATCACTACATCGTCATTTCACATGACCCATATATTCATTTCCCAAAGGGTTCATTCTAAAAGCTACATAAAAAAAAAAATTAGTTTGAAAAAATGAAAATAATATAATCTGACGTGAGATGATATACTCAGTTTTGGTTTATATATATGTTATAAGGTAAAAGGTGTGCATGGCTTACTTCAATTTATCTTTGTACATATATGTTTTCAGAAAAGTGAAGAAATATTGAACGTTGTTAATAAAAAAATCGTCAACGATAAAAGACTAGGTAAATACAATTAAGAAGATGTGGTTAGAGTGCCAATTCGACAACTCATCATCCAAGTCACAATTTGTAAAAAAGCTATTTAAGGTCAAAGCACGGCCTTTAACAATGAGCCTTGGTTAACACCAAACAACAAGCTGTTGAGGTTGGTCTGTTTATTCCTGTAGATCATTTTGCAGATTGTATATTGATACATTTTATAATTGTTGTCTAGTGTGTGAGTTTTGTAGACGCACACAAACACAAATTAAAGTAGTATCAAATGAACGAATATTGCAATTCGTATCATATACGACCAAAGTACAAGGTATGTGTTGTAACCTTTGTTCCTTTAGTCACCCATATATGAGATATCGCTAAATTTCTAAAGCATTAGACCTTATCGCTATTCTAAATTCTTTCACATTAATCATAATATTTTTTTTGCACTGAATCATCAGGAATTCTATTATTATAATACAATTCAAAAACAAATATCTTGGATATCCAGCAATAGTGAACAATAGTAATGATAAAGCATGCTTAATTCACTTTACCACAAAACTCATTTAGTTTTAAAATAGTCTACATCTTTAATACATGAACAAATCTGTATTATAGGATATAATCCTTTGCTGCAAATGATATACGAGACTGATAAACCTGTAACAAACTTAGTAACTGACGATTTATCGGAAAATCCTTCCTTATGGCAGTTCAGAGATCGTATATCAGTTGACCATTTAAAGCAGACAATTACAAATTCTCAACACAACTGTCCTGTCCTTCAACAGTTCTTATATCAAGCAAGTACTTCTTCCTATCTGCTTTAATCTATGATAACCAACAATTAATTTTCTTTGTTTCGATTATGACTAGTAAATATAAAACAAAAAACATTCAAAAACAGAAATTCGAAAACAAAAATCAGAAATAATTGACAAATTAGACCTACAGTAAGGAGCCTGTAGTTTTGTTTACAATTGTGAGAAAACAATTCCTCACAATTGATGGTTCATTCTCTGTATTTCAAAGCATAACAAAGTAATTTTTACGAGTTGTGAGTCAAAGTATTATAAGGTTAAACGTACAGGTACATTGTATGTACTGAAGATTAGATCAGTCTTGTTGGGTACATACACATATCGGGCATCTACAATTTTCAGGATTTTTCATTTCCTCATAATCTTGACAAAAAAGTTCAACATTGGAATCATTTTTTAACAAATTTTTTCTAATCAAGTGCCGTAGTATATATTTATGTATGCACGATAAGTAATATCTTTTTCAGGAACACTTCCTAAGAACTTTAAGATTTGTACCTGGTATAATTAAACTACAGAAAATATTGATAAAGAAATACAACAGGCGACTAGATAGAGTAGAGGCATTAGGACTAACAATGGATAAAGTTCTGATGGAGTTTCATGGTAACTAAATATTGTGGATTTTTTTTTCTAATTCTAGAAAAGAGATGACTGGAAAGGACTAAAGTTTTAGTAATTGTTGATACAGAGAAATTAAAATACCATATTAAGGAATATGAAATAGGACAGTATATATATATATATATATATATACAAGTCTAAATTGAAAACAACGTTCAAACCTATGATTGCGTTGGAAAAAAACCGCAAATTTTATACGTGTGCATGCAAAACAAATTTCTTGTTAGAGGGGTATAAATACAGCACAAACAACATTTTCCAAAAGACCAAAAAAGTGAAAAAGCATATTTTTACAAAACGCATTTGACTAACAGGTCGAACAACAAATGTTCTTAAACCCTATATATATATACTGTCCTATATATATATATATATGATTTAGGATGCGGGAAAAATAGTAGCACTTGATCAGGACAAGACCTAAAATTGAGAATTTGTAGTAGATACAGCATGCATAGAAACACATAAAGAACGATATCTGAAATAGTTATAATTCTTTGTGATATTTACATTTAAGGTAGTAGACCATGGGTGTGGTAGACAACTCTCGCAAATGCATTAGAAATCAAGTGTGCATTATAACATAGAACTAACTGAAACAGTGATCAAATAGATTAGTGTTGTTAAAATTTGGTTGTGAGAATCCTGCCGGAGCATCTTCGAAATGTTTTAATTAGCAAGCATTAAATTATGGAACACATTTTTTTCTTATTCGAAAAATCACGACCTGAAAGGATATAAAATTGACATTCATAGATGAAATGCTTTTTGAAAAACTATTCACTTAGATAGTGGCAGACTGTCAATAAATTGACTTTAGGGTCTGCTGAATTGGACATTTTTGTAAAAGAAAAACGAATATTGTCTAAAATTGTCTGAAGGCCAAATTGCTTGTAATTTTTGTAATCTCAAGCAGAAAACTTTATTACAAAATTTACAAGTTGTGATTTCCGAGGATTTTAAAAAAAATGTTTCAGTTTTTTTGGCAAGAATGAAACGACCATTATATTCTTTTCTTTCAGAGATTGAACATAAATTTGCTATATGAGCTGGCTAGAATTTAGACGTTTTGAATATTTCTTTACGTTAGGGCTTTTAACAGCCATTGATATTCTGGATGAGGACATGTGAAATAATACAGACAAATATGCCTTTTGTGTTTCAACCGTCATTTTGGTTACTCCAAAAGTAGTCATATATGATATACGCAAAACAAAAAATAAAACGATGAATTTAAAAAGGTTGGTGGACGATTCATGGACCCTTACCCTTTCAGTGATGTAACTATAAAAATAATTACTCTAGAGGGAAAATTTGCCAAGGCCTACCCTCTTAAGTATAAAAATGAAGACGTATCATACCTTGTCCTTTCTTTGCAGTATCTACAAAGCCATTATGATTTTGATCTGGATACCTTAAACAATTATGTAATAGTTTTTAGTATGCATTAAACTTTTCTACATGACCTCATGATTCTATATGACGTGTCTTCCGAAGGTTTAGGTTGTGTTGAAATTTGAGGTCAAAACACTTTAAACATTATACAACATATATTGTATGTATACAGTTAACCTGTAAGTTGCTTTACAGTATAGTTACAGGTTTTTTTTTTCTTCAATAAATGCAATTTAAAAAATATGCATTATTCTACTCTGTCTCTTGATGATTTTAACAGGGTATGGTATTATTTTTGGGACAAAATTATAGAAAGGTATATCAGCTCTTATTCAAAATATAGACCATGTTATTCAAGGGGGTTTAGAATTCAGTTTAACTGCTTCAAGCTGCTGACTAATGTTTTACTTGTTTTCAATTGGACAACCTCACTACTACATGTGACCAAAATTATTGCGCCAACTTTTATTTACATGTAATTTCCACCCCCTCCTCTTTGCCCGTACTTTAGGCATGAAATATAAGGGATTATATTTAAAAGTGTATAAAAAAAAATTACAAGTCGCATTCTGTCTTCATGAGCGCATGTAGAAAAAAAACATGCATTTTCTGCATCACAATGGGTCGACGTACAACATATTGTTTTTCCTTATGTGCTTCTTTATATTATTTAGATACGAGATCATCTCTAATTCTGTCTTGTTGGAATGATTTCAAACAAGCTTGAGAAAATATCCAACAGCATATGGAAGGATATGGTCTGTTAACCCATTGAAATGTAAAATACACATTTTAAACTTATTTAATACAAAAAAAAATCGTACAAGGGGTACTTATCGATAAGACAAAAATCAACAAAATTAGCAGAAAAGATAAAATTGAGTTAAAAACTACGGACACACCATAAGTGCGTGACATCAAAATTAGGCTTTTATAGAACTTAACATTCCTGAAGAAAAGGCTAGTGGCTTGTAATTGAAGTGATATAGCAAACATATTGGGTTTGGATCCAAATATGACTTTCAAATGAATTATTAAAGTTGCGTTCATAATAAACTTGAATATGCCGTATAAGGTATGTTTTGGGCAATCAGAATGAAAAGGTAAACATTATTTGTTCCAACTATGTAACAGAATTTCTAAGTTAATTTCTTTTTCATCTTTAGGATTCCCAGTAAATGGTAACTTTGTTTTTCTGTCTAAAGAGAACTGTTGCAGAAGAATTGATGAAAGTACACCAATAGCTTATGTTTTACCATCGGAGAGAGACACTGGACTGTGTTCGTATGCCCTGATATTCTTTCTACTGGAGAAACAAAACTTATTCTTAGAGAAATACTGTCAACAGAGGACAACTAAGTACGATACATGAATATAAGTTATGTACATCATTTATACAGATACGTAAGGCGGGAGGATGTTCGATTTTTAACCATGTTCAGCAAAAAATATAATTGAGGATTGAATTAATCAACGCTCTAAGAAACAGAATTTCAAGTATCTCTGCAAACGCCAGATTACCGAAAAATTGACTTTTGTAGTTCATGATTATAAAACATTTCACATTAAACTAGCAATAGGTTTTTTTTATTGAGAAGCTGAATATTCAATGAAATGTAGATAAAATACAATTATTATAAAAAAAATCCAATTATTTCTACTCACAATGACTGACAGAGAAATTTTTTAAACACCATTCTTGAAAGCAAATTCAACATTTATGAAAATTCGGTACAGTAGAAGCACGTTTATACCATCTTTAATAAAAAATATCAAACTTATAATGATTCTTGATTGAAAGTCATTTTATAAAGTTTCAGATATGACAGTCTCCCTCAAGTCAAGGTAAAAGATTTATCAGCGGCAGACCTAATAAGTTATCATCCTGGCAGAGATTTACTTCCAATTATTTTAGCTAATTCTAACTTCTCGCTTGAAGTTGTTCCGGAAACTAAAGTAAAGTACAACTTTAAAACCTGGAGAGACAGATAATGAACAGATTTCTATTTACAAAATCTGTTATTCTGCTTAAGGAGGTATGTAGGGATTGAGCCAGTGTGAGGTTTGTCATCTTTTTGTCTCACTTGTCTGTCGTTGTCCGTTAATTTAACCATGCTTACGTCCTCTGAAACTACAGGACCACGATAAAACAAACTTGACAACAGTCATCACAAATGGGATGTCTTACAATGTAATTACAAAATGTGTTCAATGTCCCACTTCTGCGTAGAAATATGGTTCAAACGCCTATAAATAGAAAAATTGGTTATTATACATATTTTGGTTTGTTACCTTGAATTCCGCATTAGATATAGAAAATATTACAGTCGCAAAATCATTCAAAATGATAATGTCATTATAATGTCTTTTGACCTTGAAAATTGAAACTTTAAGGGTACCCCTTTTGGCTTGACTTTGATATATGTGATTAAAAGGAGTATTTTCTACAAAACCTTGTCCTAGTTTTTGGATAATTTGTTTCTGAATGAATTTATCGCTCTTTAAAGATGAAAGGTGAAATGAGGTTTGGCACCCAGCAGTTAAATCAATATATCGTCTTACTTGAAGCATATATAAAAAATCTGAGACAAGGTTTTGTAGCTTGTGTATGGTTGATTAAAGGGATGAATACAAATATTTACTACCATTTGACCTGAATGTGCCATTTCAATCCAAGTTGGAAGACCACTTTTTTTGGCAAATAATGAGCTATTTTTTTAGATTGATCATACCAAAAATAAATCTATCTATAGTTAAGAAAGAGTAATATTTCAGCTTTAAAATGAGTTAAAGATTTTAAAAATCCATTGAGCAGTTTTTGAGAAATAATCTTTAATGACTGTTGGTTGGAGTCAGAAAATTATGACTGTAGTGCTACCTTAATTTGTTATCCATTTCTGTTGATTTTCCATCTTTTATTTCTATTCTTGCCTATAACCTTGTTAATCTTAGTAGAAAGATAGAAACTTTACAATGCACAAATGAATAGCAATAAATTTTTACTTTAATCTTGAAAATAGTATAATAGATATCAAGGCAATATTTACAAAGTTAACAAGCAACAATGGCTTTTCCAATGTTTTACCCTTTTTTACCTAATAACTCAAAATTTGAAACAGATAAACAGAAAAAAACTAAAAGAGCAAAATGATCAACAGGAGAAAACCTGCAAATGCATCAACTAACTACAATTGTTAGTTAACTCTTTATATAATGTAGAGTTAAAAGGCTGTTTAATGAACATTTTTACAACAAAAGAGGACATTGTGTAGATGCATACTCTTACGAGACTCCAGTTGTTAAATCAATACCAACTAAATGTTAAAAATAAAGCTACCCTGACGTGTCTATAAGGTGTGTGATTTTTAGTGCTTTATACCAAACACCATTGCTTCTTTGGTTGAAATAGAAAAAAAGTATAAAATGTTTTTTTTTACGACTTTACCGTTTCTTAAATGTTCTCTGGGTGTTTTCAAATCAAACCAATCACAACCTGACTATAGAAAAGAAGGTTGAAGCTATTGTTAATGGTATGAAAACTGTATAGAATAAATTTAACTATCATGAAAGCCTTAAGTTTGTTCAAAATTCATCCTTTTAGAACATAGGGCCGTTTAAGAACCGTCATTAAAGGGAATAATATACAATTATTGCCCGCTGAAGAAGTGAATATTATACAATAACTGTCTTTTGATGAGGTAAATATGTGGTTTCATTGACTTTTGAAAAACTGATATTCTCGGCCCCAAAAGTCAATAAATTTTAGTCTCTGATGCTTGATTTTTTTATTATTAATTGTTTTGGCTTTTAACTAGCTGTCAGTTACTGCGAGTACTCTCAAAACGTACTTTCTTTTTAATTTGACCTGTTGATACTATTTGTAATGCTTTTTTGTTATTTAATGTTAACATGGATCTTGTCTATATACCAGCTTTGATTGTTTGGAATTACTACACATTTTCACTTCTTCGTACTATGAACATCAATATTATTTCATTTCTCCTTAAATACTGTTCCGGAACCTGTACATAAGAACACGAAGTTTTATCGAACGCCTATTGTATAGTTTTATTGTTGATATTCACCCCATATGTACCAAGTTTTAGATTAGTTTTATAAATATACAAGAAATTTCTTGGTATTCCTAAACGGAAGATTATACACACAGAAGAAGGAATATACTTAACAACAAAATTATTTTCATTTACCTGTGCATAATATGACGTCATTTTTTTCAAACTTGATAATTTTCAAAAAAATGTTTAACATTTCACAGCGGTTTTATACTTTTACCTTAGTTTAATCCTTTTAATTACTTTCTACCTTAATTATTCATCCCTTATTTTTATTAACTATGTATTTGCATTGTATCACAACTCAAATTTATTTGTTCATTATGTGTTAAGGCCGTACATTGAACTATAATGGTTTACTTTTAAAAATTGTTACTTGGATGGAGAGTTGTCTTATAGGCACTCATACCACATCTTCCTATATCTATATACCACATATTTACCGAAACAAAAGACAGTAGTTGTTTTATTCCATATTCCGAAAGAAATGTATGTAATGGAAATTATTTACCAAAACCAATTGTACATCAAACGTTTTTTTTACCAAAATTATACACGTAAAAAAACGCGACGTTTTGCGCGGTGAATATACTTTTTCCGCAGGTGAATATGCTTATTTATTAAAAATCTCATTCATATAGAAATAGTTATCAAAAGTACCAGGCTTATACTTTTATACGCTAGACGCACGTTTCGTCAACATAAGACTCATCAGTGACGCTCATATCAAAATAGTTATAAAGCCGAACAAGTAAAAAGTTAAAGAGCATTCAGGACCCAAAAACCTTCTAAAGTTTTATCAATATGGAATAATCAAAATTGTCAACCAGAGGAAGGGTTATTCCTCGAGAGCTCAATATCTGTTTTATTATACCGAACAAAAAAATAAAAGTGAAATATTGTAACAAATTGTCAAAACACTTACATGTACGTTAGAAAATTATTGTGTGTCTATAAACATTTCTCGTTTGTACAACAAAGGAAGACGTTTTCTGTAAAATATAGATGGCCCTGGAAAAAGCCGTTTACAAGAGATAGCGTAGGCACTAGATGCATTTCAAAGCCTTATTAGAACTTGTTCCTTCGTCACTTGATGGGCTTCTAACCTGGACGCTGCCATATTTGTTTTTGTTTGAGTGACTTCCTACTTTAAGGGAGGTAGCCCGTGATCTTTGAGGTACAACCAGGGTTATTCACCAGGGAATAATAGGGTTGTTCGATGGTGGCTTCAATTTGTCGGGTTATTCACCGGGAAATAATACGGTTATTCGATGGAGGCTTCAATTTGTTGGGGTTATACATCATTCATGCAAGTTTTTGGAAAAACATAGAAATTAAACTATGACATGTGATTCCCTATTAGCCAATTAAATAATTACTAAATACTTTAAGGTATAATATTTCATATTTTATACAGATTGAGACAGTTATGTACAGATTTGAAACAACCAATGCTGTAGTCTTTTTACAACTCAGAGACAGATTTAAACAAGTAAGACTCAGAGATTTAGACTGGCTTGAAAAAAAATGAATTGTGGAAACCATTTACTAGAATTTTTTTGGTGTCTTTTTATTGACGGAAAAGCTTGACATAGCGCTATTTTCATTCTTCGTAAATATTAGATGTCTAATTTAATTTTTTGCAAAATCTTATATTTTTATGTTACCATATCTCAATTAACTTTTGAGTCAGTATGCTCAGTGCATTGAAGGTAGGTTGTAATAAGATATTTTTCGTAAAATGTTATTTAAACAAAAGTCCATATTGATTTATTTGTAAGTTAAGAAATTGTCACGCATGGTTATATTTAGCCACATATTTAAATGATTTGCTCTTAGCAAACGCTGTGTTGCCTGTTTTATGTTTGTTATTAAGTAATTTATATAGAATGCACTATACTGTTAAATAGAGAATGGATGCAAGTAAGAACATTAAAACATCAATAGCAATATATGTGCAGATTTTGATTTGAAAAAATTATAGACTGTAAGCATCAACAGCAGTATTATTATGTAAAATATAACATGTTTGAGGATTTAATTTATTTACAAAGGAAAGAATCAGTGTCCCAGTACTTCGACAAATTCAGACTGACCTAGATCAGAAGACTTTCTCGGAATTGTGTGATAGTATTGACAAATTAGACATAGCTATAAATTTCCTGAAGTCAGATTGTTCTGAACCAGAGAGTCTATTGGGTGACTTCATGGTCAACATAATGAAAGATGCTGATAACTTAGTCAGTCAGAAGGTAACATATACAAAGTTCGTTTATTTTTATGCTAGATCACTTTACTGTTACGATAACATATATCTCTATAATTACTGACACAAAAGTAAAGGAGGTGTTTTGCTTTTACCCTGTCCATTTGTCAACAACGTGTTAAAGAAACATAATCAAATATGTTATAACCGTGTTGAAGACTGTTCTTTGACCGATAATGATTTACTGTTACATGTTGTGACTTGGATGGAGAGTTGTCTCATTGGAAATCATACTACATCTTCCTATATCTAATTATTTGTAAAAATGTATAAAAAAAACTACATACAAGGTACAAGGTAAATTCAAATAACAGAAAAGTTCATAAAATAATTGACAAATGAAGCGTTATCGAAAAGAGGAATGAGTGAAAATAACAACTATCATATTCCTGACTTGGTTCAGACTTTTTCTTGCAGAAAATGTTGGTTACACTTGGCTAAACCTCCCACTTGCTATTATATCTGTTATTTTTTTGTTTTCTGTAAAAGTCATAGGTACTTGGAGACAGGACATTTTTTTAAGCCCTCTCCCTTTTTTCCAAAGTCTGTTATCTTTCTATTTTCTGTTTAAATTCCATTATTTTCGCGTTTTCTGTATTCTATGAACATACGTATATTATAAATAAAGTGTATTTGCTATTAACTATCAATTCCAAGTTTCTTCTCCACGGCGATCACTGCTATATTATATAGAGAGTCTCTATATACTATAGTAGTATAATCATAGTATACATTCAGATAAACGCGAAAATAATTGGCCTGTACCCGAGTACTTAATATGTGTAAGTTTAAAACCGGAAGTCTTGTATGACTTAAAAGTCGGTCTGATGACGGAAACAATATCCGGACGCCTTTATTTTCGTTTTTCTCCAAAAATAACCCAAACTGAATAATCATAAGAATGGATGACAAATGCGACTATTCATGGTACCTATAGGACACAGAGGCATGATGATTAATTCATTGTGGAAGGAAGAGAAGCGACACACAAAATGAGGTCTTCTCGTTTAATAGTATAGATACCTCGACATACACGGTCATTTCAGTACCAGAATACACGACAAACGAGACGATTTGAATTTTTAAAAATTATTAATTTCTCCAATCTTAGTAGCAATATACCAACTTCACCTGCTTATGGGATAATATTTAACAACTTATTCGGTATTAAGAGCTTGCAGCTGCTACTCAGACTTTGTAAAACGTCACCAGTCTCTGAGTAGAAAGTTGACAAACCAGTGGTATGTCAAGGAACGTCGTCTCGTCCTTTTTCGAAAAAAAGTTCATTAGATGGTACCTTGTTGGTTAATATTCCGTATCAAATTCACAAATATTCACAAAATGGTCTTGTAATATATCAAAAAAAGAAGATGTGGTATGGTTGCCAATGATACAACTCTCCACTAGAGTCCAAATGACACACAGAAATAAACAACTATAGGTCACCGTATGGCCTTAAACAATGAGCAAAGCCTATACCGCATAGTCATCTATAAACGGCCACGCAATGGCAAATGTAAAACAATTCAAACGAGAAAACTAACGGCCTAATTTATGTTCAAAAAAATGAACGAAAAACAAATATATAACACATCAACAAACGACAACCACTGAACTATAGGCTTCTGACATGGAACAGGCACACACATACAGAAAGTGGCGGGGTTAAACATGTTAGTAGGATCCCAATCCCCCCCCCTAACCTGGGACAGTGGTGTAACAGTACAACATAAGAACTAACTATAAAAATCAGTTCAAAAAGGCTAAACTCATCAGATGGATACAAAGAGAAATACCTCTTACAAAAACACAGAGTGGAATTGGCCGGGTAATTGTATATCCCAACAACAAAAAGAAACTAAGTAATGATCCGAGAGTACTCCCAGTTACTGACAGCTAATTCAAAGCCACTAACAACTAATAAAAAAATCATGCATCTAAGACTAAATTATCAATCAGTACACATCCAACATGCAATGAAAGTATATATGTTGGGTACTGACGGCGTTTATCATCTTAATAACGTGCTATAGTATTCTTTTATTTGACTTTTTGAATGATACTTTTACTGTTAAGACTATTTTTTGGAGATATCCATTTGACGTGGCTTGGTACTTATACATCCAGTCATTGTGTAAGTGTGCTTTGTTAAATTTTTGTTTCTTGTCGTTCATTTTTGCTGATGTGCTTTGTCTCCATGTATTTTTGTTGTTTTTTTTTGCCACATATTTCTTTGTTTTAATAATGATTAAAATTTGAACACAACATTAACTGTTGTACTCCTATTTTGAAATGTTTACCTATTATGTTTGTTTGTTTGTTTTGCTAACACATCGTTGTTCATATTATTGAACTTTATGCGACTGTCATACAAGTGAGAGGTAAGCTATCTATTAAACCAGGTTTAATCCACCATTATCTACATAAGAAAATGCATGTGTTAAGTCAGGAATGTGACAGTTGTAATATTTCAAATGTTATCCATTCGTTTGATGTGTTTGGGCTTTTAATTTGGACATTTGATTGAAGACTTTCCGTTTTGAATTTTCTTCGGAAGTCGTAATTTTTGTGATTTTACTTTTGACTTGTTTTGTTATTTCAGGCAGACCAGACCTTTATATGTAAATATATACAATGTGTGTGGATGACATTGACACTGGAGAGAACAAAATGTCGACAAAACAACAACATGGTTTGTATTTAATTTTACAGCATTGATTCATCCATCCTTACCATTCAGTGTTTCCATCAGATTTGTATTAAAAAAAATGTATGGTTACAAACAGCCATCACAGGTGTGCAAATTAAAATGTTTAACCAATAAAGATAAGAAATTAGTGTGTTTGTCAAATCTTAAATAATAATGTGAATTATTGAATTAATTATTCAGTAAATAGAATTTGCAAAATCTGTTCCCGTGGAATCATTGTGGGACTGAAAATATCTCTTTAACATGATTTGCATTGGCCTGCATATATTATATTATTTTAGTTTTAGTTGAATAAAACATGTTTCATTTGTCTTATTATACCATTTTTTTAAACTGTTATAAGTAAAATATGTAGAGAATTGAGATAAATCAGTTTGTAAAAGTGTTTATTAATACATTTAATAATTATAGTAGTCCATCAAATAATGATGGGGATCCTTTTAGGTAGTAGCCAACACATAGACATACTGTTTCAATACAAATTTGCCAATGCTTTATTCTAATGCCATAATCATGATATTGAGATGAGACTTTAAATGATGATAGAATTTATAGCATTGGTCGTTTCCGGTTTTTGTATACTTTGGAAAACCTAATTTATGTTATTCATCTCCATTATAGGAGTCATTTTGTTGTATTTCGTCGGCTTTCACTCAAAAACTGTCTGACGAACAACGTACAGCTTTATATAAAATCTTGAACGATTTGAAAATAGAACAGCTTGATTATTTGTCAAACATGATATTTGACTGTCTTATGTTGACTATAGACATGCCTCAGAAAAACGAGGAGTCTGTGGACATGTCCAAGGTTGGGTATGTATGCATATATAAAATAACTATCAAGGAATACAAAGATAGCGGTTACATTTTTCTGTATCAATGTATTGTGTAGGAATAAAAAGAAACGTGGGTCTATATAATGAAATACCTACACCACACAGGTCAAAAATGTCTTGTAGGTAAGCTGTAAATTTGCCTGAGTGTAGAAAGCAGTAAATTCAGCTGAAGAGATGTGGAGACTAAATAATCATGTTTTGAGGAGTTTCTAAAAATGTTGAGGGCAGCACAACTTTTTACACTCTAAAGGAAATGGTATATTGGGGTATTTCTGTCAATAGTTTTCTCAGGAACTACAAATTTGAGCATTCTGTAAATTGGTATCAAGTTTAGTGTATGCATGGTATACGGTTTAATATGTTTTCACATCGATTGCTTGTCAACTTCCCTTTTAATAAATTCTTAGTGAGAATAATTTGTTAGCAGTTGAAAGTTGTTCTTGTTCCTATAAAAAAAAATTAAATAAAGCTGGTAAGTGAACTTTTGTAAGCATTGATTATGAGGTAGTGACACTGTTTTTTTTTATAAATAATGAGGAGATTAAACAAACTATTTTATATAACATATCATTTCGTTGATGTTGCTTTTTTATAAAAAAAAAAGAAAAGTCATTACAAAATGTTTTTTATTAATTCTAGAAAATGATTTGCTTTGAAGTACATAATTGTAATTCATTTTTAGGTCAAGTTGATTCTTTAGTAAGCAAAGGTAATTTTTGTAAAGAATATAAAAAGAAGCCAATGAGACAACTCTTTACAATAGACCAAATGACACAGAAATTAACAACTGTATGCCACCATACGGCCTTCAGGATGAGCACATCCCATACCACATAGACAGGTATAAAAGGCCTCGAAATGATAATTGTATAATAATTCAAACGATAAAACAAACGGCCAAATTTATGTACAAAATAATGAACGAAAAACAAACATTGAAATACAGGTTGTGTTTCTGTTTCTTTTTAGATTGAAAGACGCAATTAAATCTTATTTGTATGATCCCCCATATGAATATGAAGCTCCGACACCGGACTGGCTTCAAATATTTGTAAATGCTTTACCTAAGGATGGAGATTCTCGTCTGCTTGGCTGTCATGTGGTAGAAACATGGGTAACAATTCATAAAACATTAGCTCACAAAAGGGATCAGATGTTATAGATAATACATATGCATTTATAAGTTTGACCTTCACGTGTTTTTAACTGTATATTGCCTTGCTTTTTTATGGTTGAATTTTATCAAAGACATATCCAGGAGAATATAAATATTTTTTTGAATACAAAATATGATTAAGACGATGTAATTATTGGGTCTTAAATTTCTGAAAATGTCCTGTGCCAAGCCAGGAATATGGCAGTTTTTAACAAATAGTCCGTTTCTACGTATGTTGGCGTTTGTTTTTGTAGCAGTTCAGTGTGTCTGTTGTTCCATT